CTAGCAGGAAGCTACTTACTTGTTATGTTGCAAGTGACTAGGTAATTGGCAACACCCGATCCACTTGCTTGCAACACATTGTGGCATGTGAAATTTTCGTCGGGCAAAGAGGTGTTCAAGTCTTTTTTCTCATGAATTTCTAATGAGACCCTCAATGGGTTAATTTGTTGTATTCGTAATATCATTTGAGGCGCCATGAAGTCAAAGGTCCCATTGCAAAAATATTATAATCGACGTGGGTGTGTGTGCAGGAACCCATACATATACACATACACGTAGTTGGAGAGTGTATGTGCCGCTTTTATATGTTGCTCGACTTCATTTTCCACTCGGATACGCTTTTTGTGTTGTTGTTATTTGCACCTGCTCATTTTGTCTATCAACTTTACCACAGCTAATTAACAGTTGGTTAAAGGCGATTGGCCGGCAGTCAACACAGCACGAGCAGCAGGAAGCCACACGGTACGGTACTTTGTGGCAACTGGCAATTTGCTTTCGATGTAATTAAAATGTTATTTTTTAATTTTCTCCGAATAATAGTGCGGAATTCGAGAGCATTTTCGAATGAATGCTTGAAATAAGGGCAAAGAGCTAATTCTATAACATAGAGCTAATGAGCTAGGAACCTATCCAGTGGGATGTATACATTCTTTGCTGCACAAAATTTTTTATCGGCAACAAAAAATCACGTTGACCGCACCAAATCAGATAAAAATCCAATGATAATCCTATAAAGTAGTCACTACTCCAAAAAAATGTGACTCCAACCCACCGCACCATTTCCTAAGATGAGGACCATCAGCTATTATTAGAGGAAATTAACTCCAAAAAATATTTGAATTTGTGGATTAAAGAAAGTTCAGGTCAGTTTTTAAAAAAACCTCAAGTCATACTTTCTGTCTACTGAAGCTTACTAACCCAGATTATGTAGCCTCCACTATTTCTTCTTAACCCTCAATCATTCTACACTTGTTTGCAGATGGTTTTATTCCCTCTTTTCACAATACCCGATTTCTGATTTTTCCTCATTTCTACCTCCAAACTTTTCCAAACTCAGCATTTGAGTTCCTATAATTTCTAGCATAACTGTTTCTGCCTTCAGTTACGTACCTATTTGATAGTTTGAACTGTGAGTATTTAAAGTAATGCTCCCGATTAATATATGGAATACATACGAGTATACATATAATATAAAAGCCTTAAACTCAGATTTAAAGTTTGGCACTCTGGGAAGCAGTTAGAAGATCTTCTGTTTTTTCTGAATGAACTCGTCTGTGGAGAATGAACCGAATATATAGCATTTGCTGCATAGGTTCTCAAACTTTGTATAGAAAAAATTATCATTTTCTTCTGATGGTTGTATTCATGGCGTCTAACGCCAGTTAGCTCTCTGACCACACAAAGGTTTCCTCTTCGATTATACAAATACGTTTCTCATTCATTCTATTTTCCAAAATTTAAGAGACATAATATTTTTCATATAATTTAGCCGAGCCAATAGTACCTCCCGCGATACTGAAAGTCATATACTGGACTTCCCGGCCATAAACCTGTACAGCCAATAGCACGAAGAAGTTCTTAATTTATTAATAAAAGTCTGATAATGCAACGAATTCTTGAATATCAAAGCAAAGAACCCATGATATAGTTAAACAATTGAGACAAGAAACCGTGTGTTTCTAAACAATTATCTCTTTAAGGCACCGTTAGAGAATCGATCAAACTCTTTTCAGTGACTGCTAAACCAACTGAAAACAACTTGGAAGTTGCGTTCGCTTATTAATTTATTTTTTAAAGCGTTGTCGGCTGTTTAAAATTTTAGTTACAAAAAAAAAAAATTATGAAATGCTTAATTAAATTTTGAGGGTAGCGAATTAAATAACTTTAAAACTGAATAAACCATAATAAAATTAATGTATAAATAAATTAAACAAATTTTGTGAATAGTATTGCCACTTATTTAAATTTTTAATTTAATAGAACTAACGAACTAAAATCAATTTTACAATATGGGCATTCATTCGACACATTTTTCGTAAACGTTGCCATCTCATTTGAAAAATAATAAATCGATGCGAGAAATTCACAATATACTACTTTGAGCAAAAAAATAATAAGTCTTTGTTCATAATTTTAAAGTTCCTTACTTATTTTTCAAATCCACGTCATCCCCTAAAATTAATCTCCTCTGGCTAAAAAACGGTGATGCCAACGTTTTTCTCAATCCTCGAAACTACCATTAAAGTGAATTTGCGGAATAGCTGTCAATACGCGATGTCTTCAATTGGCTCAAAATGGTTTCCTCGTAGCGGATCTTGATTTTTGATCGATTTTTCTGCTAATCGTTGATTTTCAAACACCAAGTTCTTTAGTTTATTGACGTGTTAATCATCGTCTTAATATTTTTTACCCATAATAGTAGTTATAGAGACATTGCTTCTTTTAAATTTCATGTCTTAAAATAAATATTATCTATAAGATCAGCAGCCTTAATTAATTTCAAATTATAAAGTATTCTTAATATTTGCCCCTTTACCTTCCGATTCCCTTTTTATGAAGCCCTCCAGGAGGGTTCACTCTTGTGGAAAATGGTGTAAAGAATATACACTTTTTTAGTCGCCAGAGACCCTTTAAAATGCATATATAAATGAACATCGCCACGAGTAGAGTCAATTCTTCCTGCGTATATGTATGCGAAGTATGGTGGCCAATCAGTAAACACGTAGACCTATTTCTCTCTAAAAAGCTACTTACTTGTCGGAACCGCCAATATGGGCTCACTATAGGTGATAGCTGACATGCAAACTGATCTATCAAAGTCAAGTTCTGGTATGGAAAGAATTTTATTTCACAAATTATATTTATGAATTTCGGTAAGGAGTATAGTTTAAAGCAACGGTACATCCTCTGATGAAATGGTTCAGATCGGAATATCGGATCGGAATGAAGATAAAGAAATACCAGAAATATCTTAATCGTTGGCAGGTTAGTTATAAATATATGTAGTTGCATCAAGAGATATATCAGTGAAGAGTTTTGTACGAGTATCTTCGATGCAGCCGAAGTTAAAGGTTCGTTTCTGTTCGCCTGATTTTATACGAGAAAAACTTTATAGATATAACAATTGCATATTTTGTGCACTTTTTTATATTTATATCAATTACATTTATATCATCTTACAACGTTCCCACGAAATATTTTTGGTGAATATCAAATGCAGTCCACTCTAAGCTTTTTCCAATAGCTCTATTCAAGCTCAGTTGCCATTCGTATTTTTTGCACAGACAGATTTAGTTTGCGTTGAAGTATCCGTTCAATTAAATAGAAAAATGTTCTTAAACAGCCTTAATAGTATTTCGAAAGCTTTATTTTAAAATTCATTAATTTCCACTTTCGATATTTTGAAAAGCAATTCCAGTTTAAATTAAATAACCTTTCTCTTGGATTTTTTCTATTTTTTCAAAATAATTTCCACACTGACTCAGCAACTCTGACGCTTATTTCCACAATCAATTGAATTCGATTTAACATGCACTCTTCCTAAAAGCTTTGCATTTTCCACACAAGTGACCAAAGGCATATCAGACACATTTCAATTGTTTAGATTTTAACAAAATGCAGAATTGTTTATTCTTTATTTCTGTTAACTAGTTGGTTGTTTTTATTTTTAATTTTCCTCCGAGCAGTATAGTGCGTTTCGATGTAGTAGTGAATATTGAAGCAGCCAGCAGCCAGTAGCCAAGAACAACAGCTGCAACAATAGCAACAACAAACACGTAACAGAGACAATTCAATCAATTTAACGGAACAAAAGCTTTTTGAGCCATTGATTGGATATTGAGGGCAAACTGATGGCCACAGCAAAATAAAATTTCACAACCACATGCCCAGAACACACACACACACACGCACAGATACATATTAGCAGTTATTTATATAAACGTTGAAAACTGAGCCACACAAGCACAAAAGTAGATCAACACCAGCGCAGAATTCAAAGAAACAAATAATTTGTGTGTGTGTGTGTGTGCGTGCGCGCGCTTATATATATATGTATATGTGTGGTCAAGTATTATATGGCAACTGAAAGATCTATTTACCCATTGTACGCTCGTGCTAACTAACTAAAGTAAAAGCCAAAGTGACTAGCTTACTGCAACAAATATACATGTTAATATACAGCCACACACACGTACCTACACACGCACACAAATGAATGCATTTGAACGCTCGCATGCGTTTGCCAGTGAAAAGAGAAATTTCCGTCTAACCAAGCACACACACACACCTATGTACATACGTTTGCTTGTGTGTGTGTGTGTGTGTGTGTGTGTGTTAGTAAAGGCAACAGAGACATAGCAGGAATGCATGAACGGTTCGGTGAATGCTTTCAAATGCAGGCAAATCCTAGCAAATAAATGAGCGTCTGACCCGGTTGCAGTGCTGGCAACCTTAACAAAAACTTTCCGGCACAGCAACAACAACAACGCAATAGCAATAGAGATTAAAATAAATGGCCAAATATTGCTTTGCACCAAAAAGGTTGACCAAAATTCATCAAAAGCAAGCGACAACACCTGGAATATGGAACGGTGAAAGGCACCCAGTGGGAAATCGGCAACCAATTTTGGTAGTTTGGCAGACAAACGTTATTGAAAATTTGACAGCGATGTGCAGAAAGTATGATAATCCACTCAATATATTTTCTATTCATCCATATTGCTGATTAAACTCATTCAAAAACATCTTGAATGTAGGCAATGTTGCCTACAATTAGGAGCTTGATTAAATTTACTGATAGATACAATATGAAACTAAGGCATAGTGTAAAGACTGAAGAAATATAAGTTTTGAAAAAATCTAAAGGAGTAGCAAACACTAAATTTTGTTTGAATATGAGTTTGTTAGGCGACATTGAAAAAATAATTAGCATGTGATAGTAATTAATGAGCTGATTACTAATTAATGCCTTAGTCATGATTTTATAATTTTATACTCACCAGTAGCAATAGACTTTAAGATAAGTGCAGGAATAAGGATGATAAGATGAAAGTCCCTTTTAATAATTATCACGATCTGTTAGAAAAGAAAATTACAACAATTAATTGTCATTATTAAATTTCGATTTGAAGTTACTAAAAAAAACAATAAAGTTTTCTGATACAAATTTGGCTAACTTGATAAGGTTGTACTTAATTAATATGCCAAATATTAGCACCATCTGTGAACCAGTTTGGTTACAGCAGCTGCTTACGTCGGCACATCGAACAAAGAATTTGTCTTAAGTTTTGTATTTTGAACTAAATTTCGTGTGCGGATTCGTTGAGAATGTTGGAAAGGGCGGTGGTTTTATTGAAAAAGCCTTCAAAGACGATCGGGAGATCGTTGAAGACATGTCTCATTTTAGATGAACTTCAACCGCTTGAAATTTGTCAGGCAAGTGTTAGCGGTCGCGAGAGCTCCACACCTCTCGTTTGTCTATTCGATTGATTTTGGTGAATATATTGGGCATGGAACGCTTTCTTGCCCGAATTGTCCCAATAAAATTGAATTTTTTTCTAACAGAGTAAATAGGTCTCTCTAGACATGCTTGATCGTGCGAATTCCGATCCCATATTCATGGAGAGCTCAAAATTTAGCTTTACTCTATTTTGGAAACTAACTGTTAAATGTTTGATATAGTTTTGAAAGAATCCTAAAACTAATTCGGTGAATGTGATAACTAAAAACCTTTATGTTAAGGTTATACAAAAGTTGGAGATCTGAAAACAGAGCAACCCTGAAGATGTATAAAAACTATTTTAAGATTGGTGTGCAATCGATAAACACGTATGGGACGGTGGCTTGGGCCTCAAAAGCATCGCAGAGATCGGTAAGCCTCAAACTATCGAAGCTACAACGACTTGCTTGCATCTACCTCTTGACCGACGGCAACACTTGAAGGCATGTTTAAGCTCACATGACTTCACCTAGTAATCGGTCAGGTAACCTAACACACACTGCTTTAAATGACTGCAGAAGGGTGTGGCAGGGTAAAGTAATCTCATCCTAGCAGCTGAAGGAATTAAGTGCTGTACTATTGGCTCTTTTCCCAAGGGAAAGCACCACCCCAAAAAATAAACTTCAACAATAAATTCAAACTTACCCTTAGCAGTAAGGCTGAATAGAATGATTCCACTCTCGAACTACTGCTTAGGGATAGTGCAATTAAGTGGTACATTGACGGCTCGAAAACGTCGGAGGGAATCCTGACAGGAAGCGCAGGACCAAGCTCCAAATTCTCCGTACCTATGGGAAGTTTTCTGAGAAAAACAAACCTCCAAGGCAATTATCGCAACGAACGTATAACCGTACTTAGCGTCAGTCAAGCGCACTTAAAGCAATCTCTGCCAAGATGAAATCACTACTAGTGCAGGAGTGTAGAGAACGGCTGAACAGTCCATCGGAATGTAACCTTCTTCGTTTTTTGTGCAAATTGTCGGTTCTGCGACAGGAAACCTGAAACTCAAGAACATCAGCTAATTGAATGCATAGCTGTCTGCAGACGCAGGATAAAGTTTCTTGGACCCACGTTTCCAAATCGTGATCACATGACCTTTCTAGCACCTAGCAGAGTATTGGAATTTATCAGTATACTTGGGATGGTGAGTCATTGTGACTTACAAGAGGGCACAATAGACCTCAAGTCGCGGTTCAATACTCATGTATTTATCTTATCTTATTTTGATATTTTCCTCTCTCAACTTACCCCAAGCAACTCTTTGCTAGATAAGAAATATGGACAGGAGTTATAATCGGTGGTTTATTGTGAGTTCCCACGCGAGACGGTTAAGTGATATCTTTACGCTTTTAGCAAAACTAATAGTGGATGCTCCATTCAGATTCATATATATATAAAGGGATAAAAAAAACTTTATCATAAAGGTTGCCATAGATTTTTTACTCACACTTTTTGTTTTATACCATAACCGAGAGGAAAAACCCAGGCTATATTGAAGTTTTTAGCCCAAATTGCACCAATAAAGAATTTGGGATATGTTATTAAGGAGACAAATATGCAATTCAAATAAATATATACGCTCTGTTAGGTGGTAAAAGCTTCAAATGATAGTTACACTAGGTATTGGTGAAGAAGACGTGGTACTTAGGTTAGCCCAAAAACATTAAAGTCCTACAGTAAACAGAGAAAGCACGAACAAAGTTTGCATGTTTACAGTTATACTTTCTTCCACCTAATCCAAAAAAAAACAAAAACCAGAGTTACCTTAAAGAATGTTTCAGTATGATAAAATGTCTCTGTACTCTACTTTCTGCCTCAGTAAGAACACCGTTACTGCGGCGCGTACGTATTTTAAAATTTATTACGAAAAGTTAGCAAGTCGACATTAATTTTCTCCACCGAAAAAATACTCGATTCACTTTCGTCAGCCAACAAAGTTACAGTTATTGCATTGGCTTGCCTGGATGTGGTCCAATTTGACGCACAACCAACTAGCGGACCAACGAAAATCGATGCTTTTAATTAGTGCGCGCACACACACAAGCCCACAGGCACACACACACATACATACGACTTGCGCGAACACACTTAATATGGTATGTATGTCACAAAAACAACAAGCCAGTGATTGTACAATATTTCGACGACATCCAATAGTGGAGCCGACGCACTGCAAGCAAAACCGCGACGCGACATTCAGTCGCTGAATTTCGGTCCAATTAGGGTAGCTGTCCGAGTGCTCGAGGCGGGGTGTGGCGGCGCATAGATAGGTTGGCAGAGCGCGGCATATTGGTGACCACGACATGGTGTGCTGCGGAGCTGAAAAAGTGCCCATTGACTGATATTGTGCGCGTCCACCGCAAAACTTACTTTAGTAACTGGGGCTTTGGCAGAGAAAAGCGCACACTGGACAGGCGAAAAAGTGGAGCGGCAGCAAAAGTTGCACATCAAAGGCTGGACTGGTACTGAATAAGTTATGTAAAAGTGTGTATACCGCATACAAAACCACGAACAAGCGGGACATTTCGGAGCTCACAGCGATTTCTTATAGGCGACGGGGGTGTATAAATACTTACGCGCTTCCGGTTTGGCCTTTTGTTGCACGTCTCGCTGTTGGCTTTCATATTATTTTATTTTTCTTTCGCATATTAAACTACACATACATATGCATGTAAAGTGACACACACCAGCCATAGTCCCGCATTTAGAGTTGCCGCTCTTACGCACACTTGAGTTCATTAAAAATCACAAAGCGTTTCATATTTCCGAGGACATAAATGTACGTGCGCAAAATACGCAACGCACGCAAAAAAATAAAAACCAAACGACAGCAAACATTATTCGCTCAAAAAGGCGTATACAAGAAACGGAGGCAAACAGACCAACCCGAAAAGTGACAAATTTCCATGAAAGCGAAACTACAGACACCTCAGCCAGTGCCATGCCACCTCTTTGTAGCTGCAAACAAGCATCGAAAAAGAAACTTGCAGAGCCTACTGAAATTGATGCTGAGACCGAGGCGACGTGCCTTGCAAACTTTTCGGCTAATTCGTCGCGTACGACGAATTAAGCTCAGACGGCGAGGGGGAACGCAGTACTCATTGTGGACTGCTGAGTAGCGAGTTCGAAGTATTTGCGAAGAGCTGCGAGTGCGTGAGGGTAAATAGTGAATTGGTACGAGTGTTAAACTCAGATGCTACAGATTCGAGTTTAGACGTCGCTTTGACTTGATAGTGGGTAAGTTAAAGCTGCAGGCTAACTGAAAATTATCTCAGCAGAGTAATGTATACAAATTATGCTATATATTTGATGAAGTAATCGATTCTCACTTGAAGCTTAAGTTCTTGGGGTATGGTTATATAACAAAAGCTTAGCATTAGAACTTCCAGTATTGTGGGTTACCATACCAGCAGATATAGCCATTGCATAACAACAGAACTTTTCTAAAAAGTAAACAAAGTGATAATAAACAGTTTATTGGCGATATGGCTACTACATCTCTTCTCTGATACTAAAAAATTCCCTTTACTACAAGGTTTTCTATGCTGGGGTGTCCCTTACAGACATATAAAGGCGTTAGGTAGCAATGATTCATACCCATTGGCAATGGTCGCAGCCCAAAACATAGATACGTGACTTTAAATAAGACAAGCAAATGTTAAACCAACATTTACAAATCACCCTAATATATTAGGTGCACATATATTTACAATTACATGTATGCTTCATTACTATTCTTAAAAGAACACATACATACATATATCGTTTAATATTTTTTCCTGTGACATAACTCATGCACACTTGTTGTTATTGTCACTTACTCTTTCTACAATTTGTAAATATTCTCGCACTTTTTTAGTTGTCATGTTTTATGCCTGTCACAATGTTTATGTTGCAACAATGACAGTACAACTACAACACTTGTCAGTTGTCAACTTTGCTATTTTTCATGTTGAACGTTCTGCGTGAGTGACACGCCATCAAAATCATCAACATTATCATTGCCAGCGATGCTGGTATGAACAGTGGGACAAAATCGGCCACAAAGGGGTCAAAAATGTTCCAATTATGCATTAAACTTTTTTAATAATGATTAGAATGTTATTTATATTATTGTGCTATTACGAAAAATTCGATGTCGAAATCTTAGACTTGGAATTTCAATTTTGAACTTGTTCGAAGCAGCATTATTAATTATTGTGTATAATAAAGTAAGTTACTAAAAAAAGTAAAAATATGTTTAGTTACGTTATTTCGTAAGGTTAATCCAAAATAGATGGATCATAAATTCCTAAAGTAAATCAGCAAATCTTCATAGATAGACGAAGAGTTTTGAACTTACCACAAATTTATGTCAAATCTTAGTCCCAGCAACTTTTCTAAGTTCGCCATAGGCGTCTATAGAATTTAAGACAATTTCCTGTGCTTCCGAAAAAAGCTCTCGAAGAGGATCTTTTGGTCTACCTAGTCTTAGTTTAGTAAAGAGAAAGTTCAGCTTTATATCATACCCAAGAAGCACTACCTCTTCCGTTGTTACTGCTCAAATTAAACCGATTTCAGCTTGAATATTTGATTT